ATAATCTTTTACTCGTCGTTTGAAAGCATCAATGGATTTTGTACTTCTAATGACAACAGGCAATGAATTCCATTACTTAATGCTAGAAACAGTGAATGAATTGTGATAAAATTTAGTAGAATGATAAGGTGTCATAAGGGAAAGATTTTCGGAAGAGTGTAATGTTAAAGTGCGGGTAGAAGAGATGAATTTAAAACAGGGACACCAGGATTAAAAAGAATATTATGTAACAAAGAGAGGGTATGTAAATCTCTTCGCCGGCGTATGTGAAGCCATTTAAGCTGAGAGCGATAGTGCGATTTTAGTTCAGTGCGGTTTCAGATCAGTTTTACTTATTTGTAAGTCTGTTTTAATTTCAATAGAAGTTAACGAAAGAGTAACGCTGAGTTCTGCTCAAATTATCACAGAAATTTTATAAATGAAATTATTACTACTAAATTGAAACGATTAATTAATCGTTTTTTAATTTGTAAAGTTATTGAACTTCAACAATGTCTCTTATGGTTGACTGAACAGTTTGTCTGTTTCTTTTATAAAATTTTATTGAAATAGACTATAACAACTACTATGTATATAGAAATATTGCTATCAATATACCTAAAAAGGTATAGACAATTCTGTCTTAAATTTTACACAATAATTGACATTGAATTTATAGACATTTAACACGCTGCTTATAGATTTTTCGTACAATAAAAACATTTTGTACTCATAATAATATGCATGCTTATTTGCTTAGTCTGGCATGTATCTGGGCATTAAGCTGGGCGTATTATTTATTAAAAAAAAGGAACTATTATGAATATAATATTAATAATTGCAATTGATCGATTTCAGGCGCTTTATGTTTCGGTATTTCATATAAGAAAATTAGAACAATTTCTAACACAACAAACACACACACACACACACACACACACACACACACACACACACACACACACACACACACACATACACCAAATACGTAGATACACATGCGATAAATACAGTAGAATTACAAACTTATTCCTTTTATTACTTAATAAAGAGAATTTTATTTATTTAAGTATGATAAATAGTACTATTTGAATACGCCTTAAATTAGATCTCGTATTTTCCATTTAGTACGTGGGTTTGGGGCTATTATAAAAAACTGATATTAATACCATAGATACTTTTAATATCCATAGATCATGACAATAGATTTTATTTATACAGGCAAACAGATGTGATTTATAAACGCCGCTAGAGCGGTAATACAAAATTGTTTTTCATTTGAGTGACACTAATTCTACATAATCTTTTCACTAATAGAAAGTATGAAGCCATTGATTTTACTTAGGTGCAATAAAATTTAATTACAATCCCAAATAGTGTACCCACGTCAGCTAATCGGTTATTTATTGAGATACGAAGTTCCAACGCGTCGGATACTAAAACCACGTAGCTATAGATACTGGTAAACGAACTGTTTTCACCCCAACGGTCGACAATTGAAGTGGCTATAGGGAACGAGGATGAGATATTTCTTCCGGTTTGTTCCTTTATTGTTCAAATACTTTAAATTTTCTTTGGTGCTAATTGCAGAACTTTGAATAAAAAAAAAAAAAAAAACACGGGGCGTCAATAACGGTTTACAATTTAAGATTTTGCTTCACAACAAACAGTTTCTTCAATCGTAATATAATTTATGGGTCAATGTGGGAATATTTTTTGTATACAATAGAATTATCAAAATATCACGAGCGCAGATACCATTATAACCGGAACTGTTCTAAACCGACATAATATTTAATAATTTAAGATATAGATGTTATTATTGTTATGTGAATTAAATATAATTAATATTATTCCATTTAATTATACATGTGTGTTACTGTACTGATGTTTTACTGAGTGAGCGTATTAGGAAACTGTAAAGCTCACTCAGTTGATGAAATAAATATATATATATATATATATATATGTGTGTGTAGGAAATATTTTTAATATATTCAATATTTGTTGTAACGGAACCTATAATAAATGAGAATGAACGAGTGTGCATGAATGAGTAAGATTGACAGATTGAAATGAGCAGATTCATTCTTGCTACGGTGTTCTAGATTAATGGTTAACGGTGATATATTTTTTTAATATTTTAAGAAAAGTTTTAAATACATAGTAATACGGAGCAACTAATTTTCATTTTAAAACCCTTGGTCCCACATATATATAATTCTGCGTAGTATATCGACTACTCATATATACTATAAGTAGTTGGCATAGTATAATCAAGCCAGTAATAGTTTTTTATTTCGAAGAGAAGCAACAACAAATCATCCGAAAATCCATGAATTGTTGCTTTCGCTTGATCTATGGGACGTACGTGTTATGGTCAGGAAAAAATATCTTCTTTTTGTTGTAAGTAACAAAAATTATGATGTTATTATATGAAATAACATATAGAAATATATTTTTATTCGATTTGGTATTCCAAAAAATAACATGAAGTGGTTTGCTATTACAAACAAGCATACGACCACGTTATGAAAATTTTGTTAATACTTAATTAATGCAGTCTTTTTGTTGTTAATATGTACTGTTTAGTTAATCTTCCCTGGAAGCTATAGCAGTTAATCCCATGTGAATTTATCACCATTGTCAGCTAACGCATCTTTATCCTCACTTATTACGTTAAAGGAAAGGGTCTAACTGACTCATTACTAGCGATATGCCTACATATATCTAGTCGCCTTTCACGTGGTTCCCCCTGAAAACCATCATGGTTAATTATTATTGAATTCGTTACCCAACTAACCATCTTCATTTTAATCTATCATACTTCACTGGATCCTCGCCAATATTTATCAATAGCGCAGGCGGGATCTTTATTTCATTTAATAACAAAAAAATCCTTCACCTTATGCACAGGTTTTCTGTTTTTATCTACATAAAAGAAAACTTTTTTTCACCTTTCTGAGGTTACATCCAATTCGTTCATTGTTACTGCAATCAGTCTTTGAAATAAAACAGCTGTACCTCTGCAAAAAGCGCCGAGTAAGCTTATTTTCAGAAGAAAACTCTTCAATTATTTGTTGAATCAGAATAAACTCTAAATTCGTTCTCAAATGCTGATCGCTATATATACTTTATTTATATAATAATATATAAACAAAACTTCATACTATTATGTAAATCCCCTTCCCCTACTACAGTTCTGCCGTTGTTTACGAAATAATAGTTGTTGTCACGTAACTAATGGGATAAAATAACTTTTTCACATAAACTTATCTACGAAGTACGACTGCTTCAGAGTGTCGTGTAGCCACAACTTTCCTTCACGCTACAATACTTTCCAAGATGTGCCCTGTTAACTGCCATAAACTAGATTTTTCTGCATTTAAATTCTAAAAGTTTTCAAAAATTTTCTAATATAAAACTAGCTAGGTAGCAATTGGTCTCTTAAAATTTTTTCTATTGTCGTGTATTGATAATTATTGTGGCACGTTGATATGCGTAAATGATTTGTCGACTTCAATTCTCGGTCGGGTTAATTTTGGTAACGGAAGTTTTTTAAATGGACACAAGCCTGGATGTGTTGGTTTATGACCACTACATCGTAGCACAGTTTTTAATAACACAGAATATCTTGGTTTGAAAGGCAGATAATATTGTTATTTTGCTGTACTTATAATTATTAATATAATATAAAAATTAATATGGAATATGAAATTTGATAGAACAGTACACTTCTCAAAGACATACAAAAGATATGTGTGTGTAATATGTGACATTATTCAATATTTAATACAAATAAAACCGCCGCATGACCTAGTATTTTTATAATTGCTCGCCCGCAGAATATTTTTAATTGAAGAAGATGGAATGATAAACCTGCCAGTGCTATCGGTTTACGCTGTTGGGGTACCAGTGTGCATGAAATCAGGTCACTTGGCCAATCGTGAACAATTCACTAAGAGTTGACCGTGGCGTTTCCTTAAATGACTATTCTGCAGATCTACTTGACAGATATAATTATTAAAAATAAGACCGCAAGTCGTTTTCGTTGCTAACAATTTCCTCTTCCTATCAAAGGTAAATATATTATACTATAAAAATAATGAAAATTAGGTTATTATTTACTAATATTTAGGCTAAATGGAATAATAAAAGTTATTCTTATGATTATATTGTGTATGATACACTAACGTATTTATATGCATACTAGCTTTTACTCGCGACTTTGTCCGCGTGACCGCGATATGTTTACTGGCTGGGATAAAAAGTAGCCTATATCCGTCTTCATTCCATATACCTAGTACGTGTATACCAAATTTTATAGTGTTTGGTTAAGCTGCTAAGGTGCTATAAAGTAACAAACGAACAAATTCCCTTTCACATTTATAATATTATTAAGGATTATTTTTACTGACTATAACGTGTAAAAATGCAATTTAATAACACACGTAAAAATTCACACATTTCAACGCCATCGTAATCTTAATACTAAGACCACCTTTTGTTTCCCCCGGGCACCATTTGTATGAAACAAAAGAAAGACGGTGAAATTTCGCGTGAGAGACGAAAATTCAGGCTGCGAAAGACCCGAGCGGCAAATAGGTATTCAAAACAATTCTTTGCGCGCCTTCACCGCTGAGATTAAGAAAAGAGATTTGTACTTTTCCTCATAAGAATAATGGAAGTGGTCAGGGACTCCATACATATATATGCCAAAGGTAATTTATTCCCCTCATGCACGTACTAATTGCTAATTTGCGACCTATCTCAAAGCATGTGAAATATCACCGCTCCGTGATGCATCCATTATTTTTACGAGTTGTTTTTGTTTTACCCGATTAACCCATATACTTGTGTACAAGAGCCTGACGTCACTTTACGTCCTCGATTTTTCTATCAAGCGAGGGAGGCGTCGGGTCAAATCGAGTCCCGCCGGTTCGCAAATGCACAGCGCATGCGTTGAATTTGCGCCAATTTCGCATGCAGCGGCCTCTGCCGGCAGTTCCAGTTCACTCGGAGCCAGGGGAGGGATGTTGCACCGCGCGGCTCCTCACCTCGCGAATGTCAAAAATTTGAAAATGGAATAGTCCGAGAGTGGAAGCGGTCTGAGTGCTCACTGCCTGTATCGATGTTTTCGCGATACCTAACGTTAAGACTTATTGAGTGTTGTGTGTGTAGATTAAGTTGTGTAATGAATTTAAAATAGCATAGACATAGAATAATAATAATAAACTATTATTAGTTTTCAATAAAAATGATAATAGTGTAGTTAATATAGGTGATCTGTGCGAATGTTTGATTGCTGTGTCCGCCGCGGTCCCCATTCAAGCGGGGTAACCTTGACACGGTTTCCCGCGCTAGCGTTCCTTGTTTTCCGTTGCACTCTCGCTTGACATTTACCGCAAAAGAGTGCTCTTTTGCTAATTAGCGTACGTTCTATAATTAGAAAGTACATCGTTCAAAACTTAACGTTAGAACTTTAATTTTTATTGAGTAAATATTATGCCGATTAGAATGTTTAAAAGGACACAATGAGTGAAGTTAGGCTATATTATATAATTCCTCTTCAAGTTTGAATATTAAATAAGCCACAAAATTGAAGAAGTTTACAAAGATGAACCCCTTGTGACCGCTTTAGTGACGAGACCTCCGATGCTATCAAAATGAGAGCAATAGGTAAGAATTCAATTTAAATATTTTAATTTACTGGTTGATTGTGTATAATTAAATTGATACTTACAATGATATTTTAACTAGATACCTACTTAATATAGTTCTCAGGAAGAGCAACGCATGAATGGTACTTGAAGGGTGTCACAGTATATCCTGTGACGTCCATGATCATGTTCATGTCTATAGGCAACGTTTATTACTTTTATTCAGGTGGGTTTGTTTGCTATTCTAAGCTACATTAAAGGAACTTATAAAATAAGGATTTATAGTCCCTGCAGTAATAAGTTCTCAAAGTATATAAATTGTTCGAGGGATATCTTACGAAGTAAAAGGCGACTAGGAAACAAAGCATATACATTAGTGCAGTAAAAGGCGGGCAGGGGAACAAAACATAACATAGTAGTATAAGAAAAGGGAAACTCGTTATAAACCTTACAAGATCGATATGATAATAGAAGGTTAAATGCTTTTTATGTTTTACTCGGAATATATATGTATTTACATGTTAATACGTATATATTCCGATATATATACACCTATAATAAAATAGGATTTATTTTATTTCACAAATTTTACAGAGAATAAGTAGCCACATAAAAAGAATATAAGTAGATATATCTACATATGTACATTACCTATGTACATAAATATATCAAATTGTTTTCACTATATTAAATTTTTATATACATGTATGCATTGTATATGTATTTTTATGTAAGTTACATAACTTAGGTACATATTTTGCGAGACTTTATTTCATGAAACTACTCGTATATGGAATGCGATATTTAACAATAAAAGAAAAAAAGACAATATATAAAGTAAGAAGAAAGAATATAGATCTTTTCTTATTTCAACTATATCAAAAAAAAAAAAAAGGTAGAGAAGATGTTAAATATTGATATGTAACTTAATTAACTAACTTAGTTATGCTAACTAATGTAACTTAGTTAAATGGCTGGAAGAATTTGAATAAAATGATATATTATAGTTAACATATATACCCTTATTTTTTACTATTTTGTTTCTATAATAAGGAAGCTTAAACTAGAGAAGAAATAAACAAGTCTGTGTTCAATTACCAAAATGGACCACATTATTCGTAGAGACACCGACTATCTAGAATAGTCACAGTGACAATCACGTCTTGAGCCATCAAGAGCAGAAGACCTACCTATAATGGCCGTAAAGAAAAAACTACAGAATGGTCAGATCAAATATTTGAATATCTGGATTGGATACCCAAATATGCTGCAATGATACAAAAAATTGTCTGATTGACTTGATGTACTTCAGTCTCACTCGTGTTTCATGACAGTCATGAAGCCGTACTTACATGGCTGTTATAGATAAAAGGGTAGTACATGAAGTTACAGATGATTTATTTATTTGTTTATTTAAGGTAAACGGACAGCTATAACAATACACAATTATACACTTAAATAGTAAATTGACAGTCATTAAGTTTGCACAAATGATATCTACAAGTGATATCTAAGTTCTTAGAAATGATGAAGAATGAAGAGGTACAATGTCAGAGTTTATTTTATGATAGTCCTGGGGACGATAATCACATTTCATTAAATAAATTTACAGCTTTATTTCATTCCATTTCATTACAAGTCAAGTAATCAATTTACAAGGTCATGATCGTAATAAATGGAAATAAAGAATCTAAAATAGAATCAAGATCCTCAGCAATGAGTGAACGATTAAAAAAAGTGAGTTAAATTTGTAAGATTCTTTTACTTTTGTGTAGGTATAATACAATCCTTTGAGACAACTTTTAATATCACTGTCAGTTCATCAAAACAGCTTGAAGCATCAACTTGAAATTATTACCTAATACTTGCCGAGATCTTTACAGCTCGATTCACTTATAAATTCGTTTTATACAAAGGGTAACTTATATAAATTCATATAATACGTTTAAATACTGGATGACTTGCTCTTCAAAATCTTTCTATTGTCTTAGAATCTATTGTGTGCTAAGTCTTTCAACTTAATGTCTATTTAATGTAAATACTGTATATAATAGATGATTATATTATATTATATGTTATATATTTTTTTTAATTTTATGTATCCAAAAAACGATCTTGTTTAATACAAACCTAGAGGTCAATTAGTAAGCAATATATTTGACTGTGATAGTACTAAACATCAGTTTACATTTGCCAATTTAACTTTATAACAACAAATAATAGTAAAGTTCTAAAGTTCAAAATTCATCGTTTGTGTCTATATTTTAATACGTAAAGATATTTGTATAAAAAGACTAAAAAATATTTACATTCATATAACTTTTGTCGATTTTAAATGTCACTTTGAAATTAATAGTTTTTCTACGATAGTAGTTCTCATCAGTATTAGTACAAATTAAATCTAATTGCAACATAACATATAATTTGTTCTAAAATTATCAATAGTCTGGATCTTTAGCCTTCAAAAAGCACTTTCGTTTAAGGTTTGTCGAAATTAAATGACAGATAGTAAATAATACTTTTTCGGAGATAGTGTTAATAATTATTTACTAGTGCCAATTCCATTTTTAAAATTAAATATAGTTTACTTTGAAATTGTCACTTGTCTGGGTCTTCGACCTTTTAAAAAGCACCTTCGTCTAACCTTTGTTGAACTTAGATGTCATTGAGCAGATCGATATAATTGAAATCAATATGCCTACGACCTAAACCTATACACAATATCTATTGAAGTATATTTTGAGCAATATAATAGGTATTGTACTTTATATTTGATGGTCGAAGTAAATATGATGTGGAAGGTAAGAAATGAAATATTAATAACTTTGCCAAAAACAAACTTTTTGAATAAATTAATATGGAACCTGCGTATCTTATAAGGTTTCTTTTTTGACATGGGGGAAATTATTAAAAAAGCCCGGAGAAGTCGAGTTCCGCCTCTTCACCATAGAGACGGGGTCTTGGGTTCAATTTCATATTTTACCGCAAATAATCTCTTCCACTTCGCTGGTAGATAGGGGCTCTTCTCACTTCCTTCACCTCGAAACGTATTCGAATATTTACCCTCGTATTGGATGTAATAAAGATTTCTATAATATCAACCTAAAAGTCCAATATTACACCACTACAACACATTAGCTTCCCACTACTTAGCATTTTAATTTTATGGTTTGGTATGATATTTTATTTCGTGTCCTTTCGTTTCGTGTTTTACTTACCTAGTCATTTTTGTTACGTCTGCTTATTAGTGACGACATGTGTTCGAGTTCTTATTTAATCACTTGATAGATGTAATAAGAAGCAAATAAATTAATAGATCTGAAATCTTAACCAAACATGAAAGTAAAACTTTTTAAGCTAAGAAAATCTTTTTATTTGAAAACGATTAGTTGTGATCAAAGAGATTTCCATATAGACAATGGCCCTTAACATTTGTGAGTTATACAATATATTTACTCGTCCTTATTAATGTTACAAGTTTGAATGTGAGTTTATTAGCTCTCGTCGCTTTAATAGCTTATAAAATTGTTTTAAAATTTAGTGTACATGAAGAATTTGTGATAGAAATAGACGTAAGCTACTTTTTCTATGATAAGTCAACATTATCCCATGGCTAAAAAAGTCGTGATAATAAATATTATTATTATTATTATATCAGTTGGTAACTATCCACTATTGGGCATAAGCCTTCCCAAAAGAGGGTGATGTCAGTAGTTGCCATGCTTGATGGGCGGTTTGGCAACTGCAGTTAGACTTTGCTAATGTTTTAAGAGTGACGCTGCTGCCCATCGCTCGACCATTAGATTCTATTAGTCGCCTCTTATGTAGGAAATGAAGGGGCGGCCCATTTTGTCGAAACCACCGGCAATATAAAAAATAATATACATTTTATTAACTAATTTGTTATACGTACTATATAACTAGCTAGCTAGCTATATTAGCTTTTGCCCGCAATTTTATCTATGTGACTAGGATATGTTGATTGACTTGAATAAAAAATAACCTAATTTTTTTACTTCCTATATGGTATGAGTATAACAAATTTAATAGTGATTGGTTGAGTTGTTAAGGTCCTATAAGATAACAATCAAACAAACTCACCGTCACATTTATAATATTAGTAAGAATGTAACTGTTACTCGAAATAGTACGAGTATATTAAAAATAGAATTACATTGTTGCATTCTTGCTGTTATTTCCTCTCAATCCATTGAATCTTTCACAGTTAAATTGTATACAAACAGCACTGCGATAATATAACTTATATAAAAGCGTTAGAGTTAGATGTTCTGAGAGTAGACGTCGTAGCTTTCGTTTCTCTCAACTGTTAGAACTGTCTGGGTTTTTGACCTTACACATTGCTTTTGACAATTTAATTTAAAACTTTGACATCTTAAAACAATGCGACTATTCAAAATTGCTAATAGGATTTAAGTAAATTTTAAAAATATATTCTATGTAGATATTTTCCTGATATATTAAATGTGATAGAAGTAAAATACAATGCCAATTTTAGTATCATAGGTTATCACAGATTACTGCAGTCGTAATTGGCATTTTGAATGTTAAAGAACCAATTGTTACAAAAAAAACATAAAAAATACATTACAAGTGTTAATTAATAGCGGACTAACGGTATACATTTTTTAGCTATTGCAATAAAATTATTTAACTTGAAAAATTTGTAATGGATTTGAATTTTGTGGCGATAATTTACATGTTGAGAGAAGATTTATGAGTATAACAAAGTAATCAATGATTGGACACAAGTGATAGTGTAGATACAAAATGATTTCAGAAACTTTTTGTTTGTTGGTGTGCCTAATTCGAAATAAATAAAATAAAATAAAACTTTTGACAGCAACAGTTAGACTGCCCGCTGCAGGTATCCTAAAGATTTTATAGCAGTAGTTCTCAATATTAAGTTGCATATCTATTAAAGAGTACAGTTTAACTAAGAGGCCGGCAGCATACCTGCAATATCCCTGATGTTGCAGGTGCCTATAGACGGTGGTAATC